CTAATGTATATACCAAGTTTGAACAAAATCCATCTGTAAACAGCCAAGAAATGGTTGATTTTTAGGATATTTTAGCACAAAAATGGCTGCCATTCGGCCATCTTGAATTAGATCGTAAAAGAAAATGATGTGCATCATGGTCCTATAATGTCTAACGTATATACCAAGTTTGAACAAAATCCATCTGTAAACAGCCGAGAAATGCTTAATTTTGATGATTTTTAGCACAAAAATGGCCGCCATTCGGCCATCTTAAATCAGATCGTGAAACAAATTGACGTGCATATGTATAATATCATGTATGATGTATGTGTGAAGTTTGATTGTGATTGGTCCAGGCATTTCTAAGATACAGGTCCGGACGCACGCACAGACACACGGAGGTCAAAACATAAGTCCCCGTTTTCGAACTGCATCCGAACGGGGACTAATAACATTTCGATAACTTTTCTACCATGTCCAATTTGATATATATATACCACCACATGCTCATGAGTAGAATCACTGCATGGGCTTGAGAGAAGGATTTCTGAAAATAAAGAAACTGTAAGAGGAAGCTGCTTTCATAGTGACTTGTGTGCAACTTGCTACTTACATTAACTATATGAGGGAAGGGGAGGGGGTGTTCATGTAAATGTACCCCACTTCCTCGCGGGCTATCAGTCACAACCTGCAATGATTACTTCAATAATAACAATACCAAGAGACTGCAAATTGAAATGTAAACTTTAATTTCATAAGACAACGAATCAATTACAGAGATAAGCGAGAACGGCAAGAGCTCAGTTTTAAACAACCCATCGCATGGTTCGATAACATGAACAATATATGGGAAGATCATTGCAGGAAAATTAAAAGAGCGGTGATTGTCACAACCGTGTGGGTCCCATGTTACACATGGAAACATCTATAGGTTAAGTATGTTGTTTGTATTTAAAACACACCTGATGAACACCACTATTCCAGCAAGGCACTTTCCTCTGAAATGGAAATTGACATCCACACAAGTATCCAAGACAGTGCTTTTATTTTTGACAAATCACCCAATAAATTTAGGTGTGAATAAATTATGTTAAAATACTGGAAAAATATCTCCCAATCAGGAGACTCTTATCCAATTTTTCTCCTGTATGGAAAAATCAAAACATTAGTGACCCTAAAAATGAACATTTACTGTTGAGCTGTTCTGAATGCAACATAGACCACATAAATTACACATCTTTGGGTTGTCAAAAAAATGATGGAGACCAACATCTATCTATAAGTATTGAATGAACTCCCTAGTTTGGTGATTTTTTGGGGGAGAAAAGTGCCTTGGTAACTTAACTAAGGATAGAGTGGTGCAACTTTTTGAGCTTGACACAACCAACCTAGTGCTGATGCAGCAACGCCATCTTTTTATCAAGGTCAAAAACAACCAGCTGTAAACCATGCAAATTAAAAGTTGATATATCGTCTTAATCCAAAAAATTGATTTCTACAAAGTTACACCTTAATATGTAAATAAATAAATTTTAAAATATGACACTCACAAATAATACATTTCAAAAACATGATTGCACAAAATCTTTTTTTTTTTTACATGATTCACAAATTCTAAATAATGTATCGCTAAATAAAGAATAAAAAAAATTCAACACAGAATTTCTAGCAATCCAGTATCGTGAGACTGGGGGATCAAAGATTATTTTTTATCGGGCAGTGCAAATTATTTTGTTCTCGTGAAGGTATGATTTTATTGTACTTCCATGTTCATTTGTTATCTTCACTTCTGACCATCACCTTCCTCATCCAAAAAAAACCTCAAATACAGTGATAAAATATATTGTGTAATTTGTAACTTATTGGATAAATTGAAGTCATTTGATGAAATTCCAGAAAGATTACTGAATCAGTGTACCTTAATTACCTTATTTGCTCTACTTGTAGTGCATGGATTCATGTAAATGACAGAGGTGGGTCTGTGGTCTAAATAAGTCATATTTGAATGATTCAGTATACAATAAATGCAAATTTTAATTGATGTGCACTATTGTGTATTGAAAGATGTTTTTTTTCTAATAAAGCAAATAGAGCAATAATAATGATATTTAGGTTTCAGAGTCAATTACATGCTTGCGCTTCATCAGTGTCTCACACACCGTCTCTCATAGAATCAAATTTGGATCCAATGTGATACCATGTGACCAGTTATAAAACAATAAACATTCGTTCTTTTATTCAGGCAAAAACTAAAAAGTCAGCTTCTCATGCACGCAACTTTGAAACCTTGTGCACCACACACGGTCAAATGGAGAAATGTTTATTTTCCGTTTTAGTGGATGTTTTGTCAATCCAAGTCAAAAGCATGTTTTAATACGTGTACATCTTGTTGTATAAGATAATCTTAATACAAAATGAAATCAATTTTTTAATTTCCTCCTGTGATTGAGAAGCAAAATCCTTTTTCAGCAAGATCAGGTGTGGTACACATCATTTTATAGGAGGGGTGGACACCATTACATAGAGGGGTAGAAATACACTTTTTTTTCACAGTATTGTTACACACATGTAAACACCGTCAGTCAGGCCAAGCCGAATTTCCAAAACCATTTTTCAACATAAAATATAATAAATTTATTATTATAGATAGATAGATTATTATGTTTTTATTCCCTCCAGATGAAATGATCAGGATTTCTCATAATAAAAATTCTCAGTGTGAAAATCTATATTTCTTTTCATTTGAGGACATTCAATGTCATGGCAAATAAGTAATTTGCTGTACTAATCTGCATTTTTATCAAACTTAAAAACTATATAGAGGGAGATAATGTAGAAATGCAGTGATGAATTGATTGTAGTTACCCTGGTGTAGAAACTAAAAAATAAACACTGCATAATTTGGAGTAAAATATGAAAATTGAGTTAGTTTTCAGGTATATACATGTATTGAGAGGGGGGGGGGGTAACACATCAAGACTAAGACTACAAACACAAGAACTAATGATGATGCAAGGCATCGTTGAGGACACAATTGT